AGTTGCTTTTTTGTGTATAAAGGTCTTGTGTTTGGCTACTTCTCTTTCACTTCAAAACTGAGCTTTAACCTCCATGTTAGGTATTTGGGGGTCAGCATTTCAAAGAAGCCTAAAGGACTTAAAAGCCTTAGTTTACTTTGGAAATCCCAACCTGCAACTATACGATATTTATTCTATTTTTAAGATGAAACCCTCATTCACTATGCTGAGAGGGAGGCTTCCAAGTCATAATGGGTTTGCACCTGACTTTTAGGTATGACCTAATGAGACAATGTTGGCGGGAGAAAACATACGAAAGGCCATCCTTCGCTCAGATATTGGTGTCCCTGAACAGGATGTTAGAAGAACGAAAGGTAATAATGTACCACTGGATAATTTCTCTACAGCTTGAGAAGCTTAAGAAACATGCATTCCATCCTACCTTAACCTCTCTTATTGTTTCAGACCTATGTGAATACAACCCTGTATGAGAAGTTTACCTATGCAGGCATTGATTGCTCTGCTGAAGAAGCTGCATAAGACAGAAAATCTTCATGTAATGATTATCTATTAAACAAAATTCAAAACCAACAGGAGTCTAGAATTATGATGTGCCGTGTAGAATTGTGTATAGCGCTCTCTGTATAATACCTGTAGTTGTTTAACTACAGATACCAATGTGCATTTCAGGCAATTCAGCCTCCATAGACTGTAGGAGTGTATATACTGTTTTGACTAGAAATGAACTCGAGTAATGAACTCTGATACGTTTCATCCACAGTGTTTTTTTTGGAAATGTGATCAATTCTGTATGTTGCTCATTGGCCACAATTATTGTAATGCATTGTGCATTGCCTCCTAATTTTTTTATATGTGCCAAGTTAATAATAAGAATTTCAGTATCTCATAACAAGTGTTATCCAAACTGTATTGTGCTTCAAACAGAAATGCTTTATGTTTGGTACCAGTGATAAAACAGTTGCTTGCCTATACAGAACAGCTCTTATCAGTAGCAATTTCTGAAGATAATTAGTTATTATAACTGCTCTTTGAAACTGGCAGTAAAAGTGAGCTATGAAAATAATTTGTTACTACAATTTTTGGACTAACTGATGCCTGTGAGAAGAAGGTAAATGCTGTTTGTTCTTTTGTTAAGTTTAACAGTCAGTTTCTGTATTAAAATATCAGTGTTTGTTTAACTTGAAAGTATATATATTAAAGAGTATGTTGCTATTTTAGGAAGAAAGATGGCATTTATGGAGATTCATAAATATGTTAAACAGTGCAGAACACATTTGTCTGGATAGAAAACTTCTTCATTTTCCATTTGCGTTTAATAACGTAATGTATAGGTATAGATTACTTTTTGATTATAAACAGGTAAGGTTTACTTACTTGCTTCTCCCTTCCCTGTCCTTTATGGGAAAGGATATAATTTGCTGTGTGGCTTTTAACACATACTATACTAACTTGTACCAGTTTTTCTTCAATGGTTTTATGTAAAGGTTTTCAAATCGAGACAATGATCAGCTAGTGTACATAATGTTCAAGAAGGCAGGAATATTTTGCTCTTCAACAAAGCAACTTTGAGAGGTTGTGCTGACAACTGAATCTACTAAATAGGCTCTCAAATAGATAGATGACCGACAGTAAAGAAAGAAAGAAAGGGCAAGCTACCATATAGTGTTGGTGACAACATTGTTGTCAATAGTTGTATGAGAAAGGTAAATTTCAATACTTTTAAGAATATGGGAGATAAACTATTGGTATTTACGTGACATGTATTATTTGTACTGTACATAAAGGTCCTGCTAAGAGCAGCTCTTCATTGTGTTAGGCAGTTTACAGACAAATAGCAAGAGAAAGCCCTATCCCGAGGAGCTTACTAACTGGAACATACAGACCAAGGATTTGTAAGTCTGCACTGTAGTCAAACCTATGACTACACCTCAAGTAGAGTGGAGGCATAAAGATGAGAGTAACAAACTTACAGAGGAAGCCTGCAGCAGATCTAGAAAAATGAGCCCAAATCTCCTGAGGCCAATAATAGTACTATACAGAAAAGACCATTACCATGACCTGATCAACAGACCAGTGACAGACCACATGGATAGCAATGGGAAGTCCCTCAAAGTCACCTTTTGAGCTTGTGCGCCAAAGGAGGCAAGACTGAGATGTTTACGGAGCCAGAAGGAGTTCCCAGAAGCAAGTCCAGGGTGGGACGACATATTCATGGGGGCCTGCTGGCATGTTCCTTTTTTTCCCTTTAAGCAAAGTCTGTTGACTTTTAAAATGCCAACTATGCTAGCCTATTTCCCTTAAATGTGACAATATGGCTTTTGTTGCCTCTTAGGCTTAGATGGCCATTGACTCCCCACGCCTCTGGTCTACCCTTTCCAGATGGAGTGGCCTGAGGGGAAGCAAGGGCATGTGACTGGAGAAGCAGCTGCAAATCCAATGACCTCCTGCCATGAAAATGACTCAAACCCTTTGCTCCCAAGTACACAACTAGGCCACCAGAGTACAAGGGCATACCCAGCCAGTTCAAGCAATGCTACTAGGCCTCGAAGTCAGGAGGCCAGAAAGAGAGCAACAGCAAATAGCCCAGACTGGTCTAGTGGTCTGGCCCTTCACCTCACAGCTCCATGTCCAACAGTCCGCTTTTCTGCCTCAGTGCTGTTTTGCTAATGTCTATGTAAGGTAAAAGACACATTTTGCTACTGTTCCGTATCTGGGTCTTCCCTTGCTCTTCTGGGAAATGTGGAGCTGGCCTTTACCCATGCTTATGTAACAATGAACTTGTAGGGAGGATTTGGACTCAGTGCTTTAGCATTCAAGGATCCACCAGGTTATTGCCCACAGAGACTTTTCCATGCTCCTCTTGCTGCTCTGCTACCGTGCAGGTAGGCATACTAGATATGCAGGAAAGAGACAGGCAGCAAAGGCCATTACCTCCACGGTCCAGCAGGCCAGCCCTTGGCCTGAAAAGCAAGGTGCTGACTGCTGCCTTGATGCCTTTGTTGTTGCTCGTGCCAGTTGTCCAGAGGTCCCTTCCAGTTCTCCGTTTCCACAATTCTCTAAAGATGTAGCAGCTGCTAGTTTATCTCTCTGTTGAACTGATTTACACAGAGGGCAACTTCAACAGTTGGGAATCCCCCTTGTATTCATAGCCTGCTGGCTACAATACCTGCTTCCAGCACAGGAACAGTGCATATTTAAACCTAAGTCCAATGCAAGTGACTCCATATGCATTGAGCTATTGGCTATAATGCAAAGGGAAGGTGGCCTGGCCTTCATCCCCTCCTCCCTTAAAGTGAAAAGGCTAACCTGTGCTTAAAAGCTTATGTGCAGAAGGGTTGGGGAAGGAGAGGCAGGTTCCATGGTTGAGGATACCGAGCAGAGGAAGATGCCTCTCTCCAGCCCAGACTTGAGCATTTGATTACCTTTGGATCACGGGGTGGTGGAGACAGAAGACAGTGTTAGATCCCATCATGCAACTTGCCTCCCAGAGGAGTAACATAACTTCTGTTGCCCTGAGCAAACCTTTGGTGTGGAGGGAGGGGAGATATGGTAGGAGCAAGCACTCCTTTGTCACATCTGGAGCAGGCCTCAGCTTTATGTCCATAGGAACCAAGCTGAAAGAGCCCCACACCACCCAGCTCCAGGACACAGCAGGAACAACCCTGTGGCCTACAGCCCTAGAAGCTGAACTAGAGCAGCCCTGTGCTATCTGGCTGTAGCAGAGTCTTATCTAAACTGCAAATTGAAAGACACCCACTGCTTCCTACACCCAGTGCCTATGGTCAGGCAGAGCAGGGCTTCTGCAGCTCAGTTCTTCAAGCTAGAGCAGAGCAGGGTAGGGCTGCTCCAGGTACAACTAAGACTCTGGGGGAGGTAGGCATCATTCCAGCCTTCCTTTTAAGTTAACCCCAATACCAATTCCCTCTCTAATCCCTCGCACCCTTTACACTACTGCTGGGTTCCATGTACCCTATACTTATGCCTCTAACTGTACCCCTGTAGGTACCTAACATGTAGCCCTGTAGGTGCCTAACTTAGAAGAATGCTTAGTGCAAGTAGTAGTATAGATAGAGAGAAGAATCACAACAGCTAAATAGCACTGCAGAATATACTGCTGGTAATGAATACCAGTTAAGAGTACATATTGTCCTGTAGCATAGCATCATTACAAAGGATCGGCATGGTTATTGTCATCTTGGGTTTAGGCTGAGATCAGTTTGCCATTTTCTTCTTTATTCTTTAACACCATGAACCTACTAGTGACAGCAAGTCTAGCCTTTTTTTCTTTACATAGTATACATTCAAATGAAATATATTTTTCTCCCCTCTAAACTAAAGGAATAGACCATATGAACCCTACACACAATAAACAAACACATTTTACTCTTTTTTTTTGGTCCTAAAGGCAGCTGGCAAAATAAGGGGTTTCTTTTTCTTTGTTTTTTAAAACTCTTCTTAATTACAAAATTAACTTACAAAACATCTCAGCACCTTGTTAACTTTGCCTTGCAAACTAAACAAATATAAATCACTAGAGTACAACTACATCATACCACTTTAAATTACCTCAAAGTGGTTTCCAAAGGTCAGTAATATCATAGAATTTCTCCCCTTTTTTTCTGCTCTCTGTCTTTATTCCACCTATAAGAGAATATGAGGGGAAGGAGACATAGAGTTGAAAGGAAACCTATCCATCTGCTGCCCAGACACCAATGGTATTCTGAGGTTAAGAGCAAGGTGACAGTTTTTGTTTGAAGTAGTGTATGAAAGACCTTGGTACAAGCTTTCAAAAATTGAAGACACAGATATTACATAAATACTTCTCTTCAGTTTCTAACTTCTGACTGGTTTAGATTAGTGTAACAATTTCAGTATAGAAATAAACAAAAATTTATCAGCTTCACTTTCATACTAAAGAAAAAAAAGCAAAGCTTTAACATTCTTGTACAGAAGTACTTATAGATACAATGAATAAGTTACACATGGGATATGAAGCGTAATTACAGCATTTTGGTCTTTTAATGTAAGTTTCAAATGTGAACAAGTAACAGAAAGAAAGGCTTTCCTAGTATCATCTGTTGCCTGTTGTATGAGGGAGTGGAACTGGAAAGTTATGGAAAAGTAAGTAGTTTCACATTTCTTGTGTTATTCTTGAAGTGAAGAGATCACCACTTTCTACCCTTATTATCTTCTTTTACTTTCCAAAGCATTAGTTCCATACAAGCAGCAGCATCTTCCCTAGAATCATGACCACCAACTGATAAGAGACAGACAAAAAAAAAAAAAAAAAAAAAAAA